TTCTTTCATCTCTTCTATCCTGGTTTCCACTTCTTCCTTTGGTACATGGGCAAAGACTTCCCCTATTTGGAAACGTACCACTTCCTCGTCAGTGAGAATCAATTCATTGCTTGCATCCTCCAGATTATCATTTGTTTCCTGAAAAAGAAATAAATAAACGTTACATGTAAAACTCTGAAGAATCCAACCCAATGTTAGTGAGGAAAATGCTATGCTACAATTGGGAGTAATCAAATTGTATGATGGGACAAGAGGAATTGCATTATGGTCAGTTGCTATTACCAAGTAAAAGACTTCCAGAATATACATAACTAATCCTAACACAAATTCAGTATGAATCAAATGACATAAATAGCCAATGAGAAGAGAAGCCAGAACAGAGCTGTGCACAATAACATGCCCTAAAATTATGCTGACACTATGTTTAATTGTTAAGACAAAAAAAGGAGTGATTGATATAAAGTAAAATAATGGTATATGCCAAAACAGAGCACCATGTCCAATTTCCTCGACACAAATTTTAGGAAGCAATTATAGTTTCTGTTACTGAAGTCCTCCTACAAGGAACGAAAAAGAATCAAAATGGTATATTAAAAGGTAATGTAGGGAAAAAAAGATCAATTAATGCTTCAACTCTCAATTATGAACATGTATTACTGGACAAAAAAGGAAATTAAAAAAAACAGAGAAAGAGAGAATCATGGGACTTGACATGAGTTAGACACTCCTATCCAATTGAACCGTGTAAATATATCTGAAGAACAGTATCTTGCTGGGACTTTTGACATCTTCATCAACAAAGGTGGTTTAGTTTGAATTACAGTTGGATTTTTGTAAGACAATAAAGACTTCAGGTCACTTGTAAACCATGGCTGAGCCTCAACAGCATTTAGTAAGCTTCTGAAGATTTACCTTCTTGTACACATTGCTAGTACAAATTTATAGAGAACATCATTGCTGGTAATGTGTTTAATGCTATACCAGAATTACTTTTCATTTCAAATGTTAGTTTTGAATGAAGTAATCATTTGTGGCAAGATTGACCTTCTTCAATCTTATGTATAATTGATACAAGTTGCTATAAATTTCTTTCACTGTTCAAGTGAGATTATATACATCTAGGACTATTTCTTGTGTGGGGGAGAAAAACCAGCATTACTTGGTGAAAAAAATTCTATAATCCAGCTTACGCTTGCTTTCTCTACTTGATTAGCAGAAGCAGAACCTAAATTCCTCCACTCACCTTTCCTTTTCAACGATGTTAGGGAGGATAAACAAATAACTATTGTTTCTTTACTCAAACTTTGTCCCAAATTAATTGCTCTTTTTTTCATTTTTTAAGGGAGACATTTTTTTTTTCCTACTTTGACCTTATTGTTATTCCTAATTTTACTTATCCACCCTATCACCAAAATTTTCTCTCTTTAGATGTATCTCTTTAATAAGGGGTAATAAGCTAAATACATAAATTGTTCCCAAATTCTTGATCTGGAAAAAGTTAAAAAAAACCAACACTTATTTTGGGATAGAGGGAGTAGATTGCTCAACTCTCTACTTATTGATCACCCCATGTCAACCCAGCATAAAAAATCTAGTTTAAGATCACTCATGAGTTAAGAAAATCAAGCTGATTAAAAACATCAAAGTTGGATCCACAAGCTTAGTTTTTCCTAAAGTTTGCCCACTGCATCTAGTCTATATACTAAGTTACCCACAAGCTCGTTTTCTAAAACAAGCTACATTAGCAGCATTGATGAAACTGGGATTAAGATAAACATCCGTTTCTACCATTCCTCTTTTTGATTTTGTTCTAAGATCCCACTGCAAGATTGTCATGAAACGAAACCTAAAACCGAATAAGGCACATACAAAAACCCTAGACCTTATCAGATTGAAAGGATTGAAGGAGGGTTTCTTATTTTTCCCAAGACCCAACTCAAAAATGTTGCTGAAAATCAGAAATACTGAAAAACCATCCACAATCTATTAAGAAAAGCAGAGAGAAAAGAGAGACTGAATCAACCCAAATCAATAGAAACATGAATCTGTAAATATACTACCTTGGCAATCCTGATTTCGTCCTCAAGCTCATGAAAACGATTGTTTAGTCTTCCGAATTTATTGATGTTCTGCTGATCTTCCCAAGTGACTTCCGTTTCAGATCCTCCACCCTTCAGGCATTAGAAAATTAGTTAAATTCAGCATTTTGATCCAGACCCAGAAAAATTTAGACAAGTTTCATCAAGAAAATCAAAAGAAACAAGCTTGAACAACGACTAGAGTTTTGATTACCTGTTGCATGGTTGATTGATTTCGAGTTTCAACAAGCTAACTGACACAAGGGAGAACAAAACTAGGGGATCCTGGGGGAGGAAATTATTTGTTCCGCCGTAGGTGGGACACGGCGTCGTTTTTGTTGGTTCAAAATCAGAATGCATTTTTTGATAATATCCCTGAACTTACCCCTGTTTTTCAGATAAGCCCATAAACAAAAATCAAGCAAATAAACCCCAAACCGTTGCGATAAACCAGAAGGCTTTTAGTTGACATCGAGTTAAGCATATGGTGTTGGGACAGTAATGCAACCAGCCTATAAACATATCTTAGGCAACTAGCCAATCGGCCATAGAGCATATGCATACCCAGGTAGATCCAAAGGGCTAATATAAGGACGAGTCATATAGAAAGCACTCTTCTCCAAGGCACTTCTCTGTCTATTATATTGCTTTCTCTAAAAGTTACCTACATCTAGAATATCGTTGACTTGTGTTGGGATTATGCCTTCAATTCTCCAAAAATGGGCATGAAACTCACAAGAGGAAGAAATCAAAGTTCGAAAACAGAGTTGACAACATTGGTAGAAGTTCTGGAACCTTTGGCAAGGTTTGGAACCTTTGTGCCCCCTAACTCAACATTGTCGCCATTATGAGGAAAAGCTCTAGATTTCTGGAACCTTTGCGGCTGTTGTGAGAAATCGACATTTGGATTTTGTCTCACTCCAACGCTGAGACTTTGTTTCCATTGCCGTAGCCTCCTTTCTTTACCCATTTGGTTTTCTGAACATGCACCTTTGAAGCCGAACTCTTGTCCTTCCCACATCTCCCCTGAGTCCTGAGGCTTCTTGATCTCCCTTCAAACATAGCAAATGAATTTAGTCTTCGATCTTCCGTTTAATCTCTCCTCCGGCTCTCTAGGTTGCTTTTCCCATTTAGGAATCTAACAAAGTCATATTTTTTGTGGCTTCTGACCCTCTTTTTTGAGATGTGGACATCCAGAACCTTATTGTATCTTGAGAATAGCTTCTATAGCTTTTTAGAATTCCATTCCTTCTAAGAAGTTCGGAAAAAACAACTCTAAGAATTCATCAAAAGCTCCTCGCTGTACGTTGAGAATTTGCTAAGGTGCTTCTGATCGCCTACATTCGAAGAAGGTCTTCTTCGAGATCCCTGTCCTGTGGCTGCCAGTGCCGCCTGCTCTTCCCTCATCTGTCTGCCATCGCCTGACAAACAGCTCCTATCCGTTGTATTGCTTTTTTAATATAACGTGATATTGAAAGCGAATAGATATTGATTCAAGCGTTATCCTTAAATAAAAAAGAAGAAGATTATAACATATAATGTAATATTATGTAAATCATTATGACTAAAAATCAACTTATATTAGTATAAGTCTAAGAAATTCTTATATCAATTTTTAGCTACATATTTTAAAATTTAACCTTTGTCTTGCATTAATATCTGAAATTTTAAAATAAATAACTAAGAATTGGTGCAATTGTTTCTAAAAAATTCTTATATGGCTTTACACATGCGGCAAACTTGAGGTGCGGGACATGCCACTTACTTTGCTATCAAGTAAGAAAGTAGGATTTCTCCAATAACTCTTTCTCTTGTGCAATCAACTTTTGTTAGGATGGTGAGAGGAATGTTGGTTTAAAATTGAGTTCAGCACTTTTAGACGATTTGTGGGAGGGAGAAATGCTTTCCTACAAAATGGGTAAAAACACCACAGTAAGGTAAAATATTAAAGATCTAAAATAATAATAAAAAACAGGAAATATAAACTAAACTAGCTTTCATCTACATACTAGACTAATGAATTGTTGGCAAATTAAACTAAATCATAGTAGAACTAAAAAATTAAATGGTTTTAAAAGTAGAGAAAACTAAGTAATTATGATGTTAAGGCAAATAAGACTTTGAAATTAATATGAACATGAATGAGAGACGTGAAAACCATATTAGTTGACATTTGAAGAAACAACACTTATCTCAAAATCACTAAATAAAAAAAGAGAGTGTTATAGAAGTTAGAATCAACCTAAATCTAATTGAAAGTTGTGCTACTAAGATTTGTGAGTTGTGTGAATAGTAGTTATAAAATTAGGAAGTTGAATTTGTTAATAAGTTGTGTAGGGCTAGTTATTTGTTGCTTCTTTTGAATTTTTTATATTATATATCTCAATGTAGATGGCAACCATCCACTTCCATTTGTGCAAAATGTGTCAAACTTCATGGGTTAGTTGGACAATTCAATAGTTGACGTAATTAAAACTCTTTTTAAAACTCGCCACATGTTTGCCACTTTATTCACTTGTTGATCTTGATGACAACTTCTCCTAAAATTTAACCATCATCTCCACTAACATATTAAATAACACCAAATAAATAGGAAATAATTGTAAAAAACATTAG